GATTTCATTCGAATGTAGGCTTGAAGACCGACGGATCAGCAGATACGATACGGATCATCACGACGTTCATCCGACAAGCCTGCATGGTTGTGAGCATGGTTGTCGACTACGGCAGCACGTTGTATGACGAGACTCTCACGCGTGTCCGAAACACGGTTTATGTGTCGCATGCCAGAGACGAAGTACATAGCGTGTTTCGCTTTATTTCGTACTTGACAAGCAACGAGTGTCAGCTAATATCTCGTGTCTGCATCATCGAAACTGGTACCACGCTGCTCGAAGACGATACGAATGGGTCATGTTATCCCCACAACAAGGTTGGTGCGGTTCCCACGATGTTCGTGCGCGCTACTTCATGCGTTGGCGAGTGCAGTCACTACTCGGCATCATTGCGCTCCCTCGTACTGTCACTGACAACCTGGTCCTTGCGTCCATTATCGACAATGTCGCCGCTTTCGGTGGGACGAGAGTTCCTTTCTATTCTGCTTGCAGTGCAGTAACAAGACATTTACATGAGTGCCTACTGCATGAAGCGAGGAGTCCACACACTGGCTTCTTCGTCACGATTCAGAGGCATGGGGAAAACTACGTGCAATTCGTGATCTTGAAGAGCAATTCGCTGGAGGACAAAATTGCTGGTACGAAAATGACGTGCTTGTTGTGACCGAACAGCTACGATACCAACCTTGCACTCAGCTGTATCAGCGAGTATTGCGAGCAGATGAACATGCATCATTCTAAAGTCGGACGCCTCGTGAGGCGCTCATTCGTTTGGCGCATTCTTTTTGCAGCCATGCGTCTACAACATGCTTGCGTGCCAGAAAGAGTACCAAGGAGCAAATGAGCCGTTGGCCATACTTGCAAGACAATGCAGACCAGACGGACAAATGAAGCACCGAAAGATCTGGTGAGATGGTGGCTGATCCGAGTGTCAGCCTGCAACTGATAGACAAGCCGTCTGGATGCTTACTTGGCTATGCTTCATCATAGGGTCTGTCCACAAGATGACTGACATCGCACACTTACAACAAGTTGTTCGGAACACTTGTCATCGAGTAACGTGTCTTATCTGCTTCATGGTTCGATCGGGTACTTGCTGTTGTGGAAGTGTTTTATGGTGAGTCGATTTTTGGTGCTGTATCAAGTCATGCATTCCAGAGCGGTGACACTATCTCATCATCGCCACGATTCTGTGGATCAGCACAACACCACGACGTGGGAGCAAGATGGTTTTTGGGTGGTTTGGTTGGTACAGAAGGAGTGTTGTAAACCACTTTCCTCTACTGTCGGAGGCGCTTCGAAGAACAGTCAAGCTCACAGTACATATGCTCGTCGTGAGGGTGGCCGGTATCGGAGGATACGCGGAAGTCCATAGCACAATGTCGAACGGCACAAACCGACCTGTAAACACACGATGCTAGATCTGCTGGACACGGTGTCCTGAAACAAAGAACGCGCTGCTGGCCAATCAAGCAGAGCTAGTATCCACTTCGGCAGTGATTGCGTTGCATTGACGTATGCTTGTTTACAGCTTTCCGCGCACACCTCAATTGAAGAGAGTTGCGAAACCGGCGTCAATGCCAAGCCGCACCGCATCAGAAAAAAATTAACGTCAGCCATTCACATGTTGTGCCGGATCTCTTCCATGGGCTGCACACTGGTTGGACGCGCTGCTACAATCCCCTTAGCTAGGTAGCTAGCTAGTTGGGAACCCTCGCAGGCGAGTTGCTTTCGCCAGGTTGGACCTATCCTCAATAGAATTGACAAACGACGCCAGACGATATCGCCGTCACTGTTTGTCGGTTAAGAGCACGATGTTCGTACTATTCTTGATGCAACGTGACCTGCTTTCAGATGTCGATGATGAAACGTCGCATCTCGCACCGAATCTCAGCCAGCAACAGTCGCATTCGTCTGTCCGGTCGTTTCGAAGGCTCATTCATTTGATGTCAACAGGCGTGCGTTTCTTTCACAACCGACACCGGGTGCGACAGAAGTTCATCTCACAGAAAACGGTAAACCTGCTTTTGATTCGATACGATTGACTCGAGGCCCGTTCCAGCTTGCACGTCTGCTTGCTTTTTATCATTCTGCAACTTGCCAAGACTTCCCAGCATCCCTCACCACCTTCACTCTAAGATGAAACTCTCCATTTGCCTCCTACTCGCTGCGGTCACAGCTACGACGATCTGTGTACAAGCAACGGATACCCGTCCGAACGAACTTCTTGATGGACTTGACGTGCTTTCTCATATCCTCACGGATAAGGACAGTCGGGTGTATGTCGAAGATGATGGACATGACCACTACCACGACCACGATGACTACCACCACAAGAACAACTAGGCCCTTCAACCAATCCCTTCTGCCAAGCTCTTCATGCGATCAAGGTCTCGGCGACCGCGATGACATTGAACGGAGTTGATGACGAGAGACAAGCTTGTCCTGAACCTGTCCCACGAATCGACTGTATCTGTTCAAACAGTTCAAGCCGTAGGCGTGGATTCGTAGACTAGTGAAGGGGTAACGCGACATCAATGTAGCCAACCTTCAACTCGTTCAAAATCAATTCTGACTTCTTTATCCATTGACTTCTGTACTCTCGTGTAGCAATCAGCTATCGCAAAAGACAGTACGCCCATGTGCTAGACCCGACACATGAGGCTCACCTTGAGCTTCTGTATTCTTGCCTATCTATCTATCTATCTATCTATCTATCTGGGTAGTCTTCCCTTCGTGTGTTTGAGAAATAAATCAGAGTTCCGACGACAATATCGGTGAGCGAGCCAGCATCCACGTGAGTCCTGTACTGGATATGATGCGCCAAGCATTGCGGGATTTCATTCGAATGTAGGCTTGAAGACCGACGGATCAGCAGATACGATACGGATCATCACGACGTTCATCCGACAAGCCTGCATGGTTGTGAGCATGGTTGTCGACTACGGCAGCACGTTGTATGACGAGACTCTCACGCGTGTCCGAAATACGGTTTATGTGTCGCATGCCAGCGACGAAGTACATAGCGTGTTTCGCTTTATTTCGTCCTTGACAGGCAACGAGTGTCAGCTAATATCTCGTGTCTGCATCATCGAAACTGGTACCACGCTGCTCGAAGACGATACGAATGGGTCATGTCATCCCCACAACAAGGTTGGTGCGGTTCCCACGATGTTCGTGCGCGCTACTTCATGCGTTGGCGAGTGCAGTCACTACTCGGCATCATTGCGCTCCCTCGTACTGTCACTGACAACCTGGTCCTTGCGTCCATTATCGACAATGTCGCCGCTTTCGGTGGGACGAGAGTTCCTTTCTATTCTGCTTGCAGTGCAGTAACAAGACACTTACATGAGTGCCTACTGCATGAAGCGAGGAGTCCACACACTGGCTTCTTCGTCACGATTCAGAGGCATGGGGAAAACTACGTGCAATTCGTGATCTTGAAGAGCAATTCGCTGGAGGACAAAATTGCTGGTACGAAGATGACGTGCTTGTTGTGACCGAACAGCTACGATACCAACCTTGCACTCAGCTGTATCAGCGAGTATTGCGAGCAGATGAACATGCATCATTCTAAAATCGGACGCCTCGTGAGGCGCTCATTCGTTTGGCGCATTCTTTTTGCAGCCATGCGTCTACAACATGCTTGCCTGCCAGAAAGAGTACCAAGGAGCAAATGAGCCGTTGGCCATACTTGCAAGACAATGCAGACCAGACGGACAAATGAAGCACCGAAAGATCTGGTGAGATGGTAGCTGATCCGAGTGTCAGCCTGCAACTGATAGACAAGCCGTCTGGATGCTTACTTGGCTATGCTTCATCATAGGGTCTGTCCACAAGATGACTGACATCGCACACTTACAACAAGTTGTTCGGAACACTTGTCATTGAGTAACGTGTCTTATCTGCTTCATGGTTCGATCGGGTACTTGCTGTCGTGGAAGTGTTTTATGGTGAGTCGATTTTTGGTACTGTATCAAGTCATGCATTCCAGAGCGGTGACACTATCTCATCATCGCCACGGTTCTGTGGATCAGCACCACACCACGACGTGGGAGCAAGACGGTTTTTGGGTGGTTTGGTTGGTACAGGAGGAGTGTTGTACACCACTTTCCTCTACTGTCGGAGGCGCTTCGAAGAACAGTCAAGCTCACAGTACATATGCTCGTCGTGAGGGTGGCCGGTATCGGAGGATACGCGGAAGTCCATAGCACAATGTCGAACGGCACAAACCGACCTGTAAACACACGATGCTGGATCTGCTGGAGATGGTGTCCTGAAACAAAGAACGCGCTGCTGGCCAATCAAGCAGAGCTAGTATCCACTTCGGCAGTGATTGCGTTGCATTGACGTATGCTTGTTTACAGCTTTCCGCGCACACCTCAATTGAAGAGAGTTGCGAAACCGGCGTCAATGCCAAGCCGCACCGCATCAGAAAAAATTAACGTCAGCCATTCACATGTTGTGCCGAATCTCTTCCATGGGCTGCACAGTGGTTGGACGCGCTGCTACAATCCCCTTAGCTAGGTAGCTAGCTAGTTGGGAACCCTCGCAGGCGAGTTGCTTTCGCCAGGTTGGACCTATCCTCATTAGAATTGACAAACGACGCCAGACGATATCACCGTCACTGACGCCAGACGATATCGCCGTCACTGTTTGCCGGTAAAGAGCACGATGTTCGTACTATTTTTGATCCAACGTGATCTGCTTTCAGATGTCGATGATGAAACGTCGCATCTCGCACCGAAATCTCAGCCAGCAACAGTCGCATTCGTCTGTCCGGTCGTTTCGAAGGCTCATTCATTTGATGTCAACAGGCGTGCGTTTCTTTCACAACCGACACCGGGTGCGACAGAAGTTCATCTCCCGGAAAACGGTAAACCTGCTTTTGATTCGATACGATTGACTCGAGGCCCGGTCCGGCTTGCACGTCTGCTTGCTTTTTATCATTCTGCAACTTGCCAAGACTTCCCAGCATCCCTCACCACCTTCACTCTAAGATGAAACTCTCCATTTGCCTCCTACTCGCTGCGGTCACAGCTACGACGATCTGTGTACAAGCAACGGATACCCGTCCGAACGAACTTCTTGATGGACTTGACGTGCTTTCTCATATCCTCACGGATAAGGACAGTCGGGTGTATGTCGAAGATGATGGACATGACCACTACCACGACCACGATGACTACCACCACAAGAACATCTAGGCCCTTCAACCAATCCCTTCTGCCAAGCTCTTCATGCGATCAAGGTCTCGGCGACCGCGGTGACATTGAACGGAGTTGATGACGAGAGACAAGCTTGTCCTGAACCTGTCCCACGAATCGACTGTATCTGTTCAAACAGTTCAAGCCGTAGGCGTGGATTCGTAGACTAGTGAAGGGGTAACGCGACATCAATGTAGCCAACCTTCAACTCGTTCAAAATCACTTCTGACTTCTTTATCCATTGACTTCTGTACTCTCGTGTAGCAATCAGCTATCGCAAAAGACAGTACACCCATGTGCTAGACCCGACACATGAGGCTCACCTTGAGCTTCTGTATTCTTGCCTATCTATCTATCTATCTATCTATCTATCTATCTATCTATCTATCTATCTATCTATCTGGGTAGTCTTTCCTTCGTGTGTTTGAGAAATAAATCAGAGTTCCGACGACAATATCGGTGAGCGAGCCAGCATCCACGTGAGTCCTGTACTGGATATGATGCGCCAAGCATTGCGGGATTTCATTCGAATGTAGGCTTGAAGACCGACGGATCAGCAGATACGATACGGATCATCACGACGTTCATCCGACAAGCCTGCATGGTTGTGAGCATGGTTGTCGACTACGGCAGCACGTTGTATGACGAGACTCTCACGCGTGTCCGAAATACGGTTTATGTGTCGCATGCCAGAGACGAAGTACATAGCGTGTTTCGCTTTATTTCGTCCTTGACAGGCAACGAGTGTCAGCTAATATCTCGTGTCTGCATCATCGAAACTGGTACCACGCTGCTCGAAGACGATACGAATGGGTCATGTCATCCCCACAACAAGGTTGGTGCGGTTCCCACGATGTTCGTGCGCGCTACTTCATGCGTTGGCGAGTGCAGTCACTACTCGGCATCATTGCGCTCCCTCGTACTGTCACTGACAACCTGGTCCTTGCGTCCATTATCGACAATGTCGCCGCTTTCGGTGGGACGAGAGTTCCTTTCTATTCTGCTTGCAGTGCAGTAACAAGACATTTATATGAGTGCCTACTGCATGAAGCGAGGAGTCCACACACTGGCTTCTTCGTCACGATTCAGAGGCATGGGGAAAACTACGTGCAATTCGTGATCTTGAAGAGCAATTCGCTGGAGGACAAAATTGCTGGTACGAAGATGACGTGCTTGTTGTGACCGAACAGCTACGATACCAACCTTGCACTCAGCTGTATCAGCGAGTATTGCGAGCAGATGAACATGCATCATTCTAAAGTCGGACGCCTCGTGAGGCGCTCATTCGGTTGGCGCATTCTTTTTGCAGCCATGCGTCTACAACATGCTTGCGTGCCAGAAAGACTACCAAGGAGGCAAATGAGCCGTTGGCCATACTTGCAAGACAATGCAGACCAGACGGACAAATGAAGCACCGAAAGATCTGGTGAGATGGTGGCTGATCCGAGTGTCAGCCTGCAACTGATAGACAAGCCGTCTGGATGCTTACTTGGCTATGCTTCATCATAGGGTCTGTCCACAAGATGACTGACATCGCACACTTACAACAAGTTGTTCGGAACACTTGTCATCGAGTAACGTGTCTTATCTGCTTCATGGTTCGATCGGGTACTTGCTGTCGTGGAAGTGTTTTATGGTGAGTCGATTTTTGGTGCTGTATCAAGTCATGCATTCCAGAGCGGTGACACTATCTCATCATCGCCACGATTCTGTGGATCAGCACAACACCACGACGTGGGAGCAAGATGGTTTTTGGGTGGTTTGGTTGGTACAGAAGGAGTGTTGTAAACCACTTTCCTCTACTGTCGGAGGCGCTTCGAAGAACAGTCAAGCTCACAGTACATATGCTCGTCGTGAGGGTGGCCGGTATCGGAGGATACGCGGAAGTCCATCGCACAATGTCGAACGGTACAAACCGACCTGTAAACACACGATGCTGGATCTGCTGGAGATGGTGTCCTGAAACAAAGAACGCGCTGCTGGCCAATCAAGCAGAGCTAGTATCCACTTCGGCAGTGATTGCGTTGCATTGACGTATGCTTGTTTACAGCTTTCCGCGCACACCTCAATTGAAGAGAGTTGCGAAACCGGCGTCAATGCCAAGCCGCACCGCATCAGAAAAAATTAACGTCAGCCATTCACATGTTGTGCCGGATCTCTTCCATGGGCTGCACAGTGGTTGGACGCGCTGCTACAATCCCCTTAGCTAGGTAGCTAGCTAGTTGGGAACCCTCGCAGGCGAGTCGCTTTCGCCAGGTTGGACCTATCCTCAATAGAATTGACAAACGACGCCAGACGATATCGCCGCCACCGACACCAGACGATATCGCCGTCACTGTTTGCCGGTAAAGAGCACGATGTTCGTACTATTTTTGATCCAACGTGACCTGCTTTCAGATGTAGATGATGAAACGTCGCATCTCGCACCGAAATCTCAGCCAGCAACAGTCGCATTCGTCTGTCCGGTCGTTTCGAAGGCTCATTCATTTGATGTCAACAGGCGTGCGTTTCTTTCACAACCGACACCGGGTGCAACAGAAGTTCATCTCACAGAAAACGGTAAACCTGCTTTTGATTCGATACGATTGACTCGAGGCCCGGTCCGGCTTGCACGTCTGCTTGCTTTTTATCATTCTGCAACTTGCCAAGACTTCCCAGCATCCCTCACCACCTTCACTCTAAGATGAAACTCTCCATTTGCCTCCTACTCGCTGCGGTCACAGCTACGACGATCTGTGTACAAGCAACGGATACCCGTCCGAACGAACTTCTTGATGGACTTGACGTGCTTTCTCATATCCTCACGGATAAGGACAGTCGGGTGTATGTCGAAGATGATGGACATGACCACTACCACGACCACGATGACTACCACCACAAGAACAACTAGGCCCTTCAACCAATCCCTTCTGCCAAGCTCTTCATGCGATCAAGGTCTCGGCGACCGCGATGACATTGAACGGAGTTGATGACGAGAGACAAGCTTGTCCTGAACCTGTCCCACGAATCGACTGTATCTGTTCAAACAGTTCAAGCCGTAGGCGTGGATTCGTAGACTAGTGAAGGGGTAACGCGACATCAATGTAGCCAACCTTCAACTCGTTCAAAATCAATTCTGACTTCTTTATCCATTGACTTCTGTACTCTCGTGTAGCAATCAGCTATCGCAAAAGACAGTACGCCCATGTGCTAGACCCGACACATGAGGCTCACCTTGAGCTTCTGTATTCTTGCCTATCTATCTATCTATCTATCTATCTACTTCTATCTCTACTATCTACTATCTATCTGGGTAGTCTTTCCTTCGTGTGTTCGAGAAATAAATCAGAGTTCCGACGACAATATCGGTGAGCGAGCCGGCATCCACGTGAGTCCTGTACTGGATATGATGCGCCAAGCATTGCGGGATTTCATTCGAATGTAGGCTTGAAGACCGACGGATCAGCAGATACGATACGGATCACGCCAGTCATCCGACAAGCCTGCATGGTTGTGAGCATGGTTGTCGACTACGGCAGCACGTTATATGACGAGACTCTCACGCGTGTCCGAAACACGGTTTATGTGTCGCATGCCAGAGACGAAGTACGTAGCGTGTTTCGCTTATTTCGTACTTGACAAGCAACGAGTGTCAGCTACTATCTCGTGTCTGCATCATCGAAACTGGTACCACGCTGCTCGAAGACGATACGAATGGGTCATGTTATCCCCACAACAAGGTTGGTGCGGTTCCCACGATGTTCGTGCGCACTACTTCATGCGTTGGCGAGTGCAGTCACTACTCGGCATCATTGCGCTCCCTCGTACTGTCACTGACAACCTGGTCCTTGCGCCCATCTACGACAATGTCGCCGCTTTCGGTGGGACGAGAGTTCCTTTCTATTCTGCTTGCAGTTTGGCTCATGCAGAGCAGCTGTTTCTTCTTGAGTACTAAGGGCAGCTTACGGCGTAACGAGGCCTTCAGGCCCGGTGGTGCATCACTCGACGCATCGGACGCCTATGGCCGCCATCTCTTGCTTAAGGAATGGACCAATTCTTTTGAGCCAGTTACATCTCGGCTCCAAGGCTGGATGGGTGACATGCTTTACATACCTCAAAATGTACGAGGATTCAAGGACAGCGTGCGCGACAGTTGGATGTCGGGTTGGCGGGCTAAGACAAATCGACACAGAACAGGGGCTTGGTGCATCCAGGGCACACATGTGCACACAAAGCAGAGGCAACTCGGCTGCGATATCCGTGGGCTCGACTATGGGGTCAGCATCTTAACCCGACTTCCCCTGTCCTATCGTACTGGAGTATTGGCTCGTCAAAACGGGCAGGAGTTGCTGTTCTTGTAACGGGGCACCCTGAAGCTTGTACTGGTGACAGTACAAGCTACTTATTCTGATAACAGAATAAGGCGGTGCCTCGTAACTTCACGTACACTCGTACGTGCAGAGGAAGACGGTAAGAAGAAGCGAGTACTTGGTTAGAGTAAAAAAGTAGAACTGTATTTATAATAGTTAATGTCTGCAATAAATCACTATTTATCTTCATCTAACTATGTCTAAATACAAATGTGTAAATCAGTTATCTGCTCACCACTCATTGCGTGCGTCTGTCGTGGCGCGTCTTCGTTGGTTGATATAATGGCCTATATCAACCAATTAGGAACTACTCGTAAGTGCTACAGAATATTTGTCCTTATGACAATATTCTGAGAATATAACTCTTATAGTTATATTCTATCAACAATTTCTTATAAATTGTTATGTAACGATTCACCCCGTTACATCACCCCCCCCCTTAACCATCAGTCACTTTAGTGACTGATTGACTAAATGGATACTCGTCCCAAATCAGTCGGGACGGGGTTCGCACTTGTTGGTCCGAGTCCACTTTCCAACACTTCATCGCATGGCTAACAAGCCCATGCGATGCGCGAGCAAGGCCGCCGAGAGCGCGTCTTCACGTCTCTGTGCGGACGCCGAAGCAGAAACTACAGCAACTGATGTCTC